TTGTATGTATCCGGGGTCAGCAGCAGATAGCCCCAACTTTTGACCTCATCCCCAACCTGTAGCCAAGGCTTGATTTGGCTGGACAACGCCTACCTAAATGACGATAGTAGTGTATCTTGCACATTAAACCCACCCGACTAGAAACCATATTCCTACCATCTACTGTACAGACGTATTGATTTTATATTGCCCTTTAAATACGATGGGTTTGAGGCTAGATTGATGTCAGAGCAGCTTCGGCCAGGGGTCTGGCGTTTCACGTACATCAGATTTTCGATCTAGTTAAATCTCAATCAAATCCTTATGTGTGCCGTTGATTTCAAAAAGGTCATCAAGCAGGATTGCAATATCAAATTCCCTACAACCTTATCCTAAAACATTTCACTTAAGTAGTACGTACTGTCTATTGATCATCAGCAACTCCCCTCAAAGTCAGGAAGACATCCTTTCTTCAAGTAAAATAAATCAAGAAAATGTAATTTAATACCATCTAGGTAAAAGATAATATTTTGTTGAATGCGTTCCCCAAAAATCCTAAATCGACGGGGAAAGTAGTCATTTCTAAACTGTGTATTTTTCGACGGCAATCGACAGACTGCTCATTCAAAAACTAGCGTCCCGACGTCACTGAAATACCTAAAGGGCATGCTGACTGATAACTACTATTATCAACCAACTTAAGTAGAGTCATCGAAACAAACAAAAACAGTTGATGATTTTGGTTAAAATCTCATGAGATAGTATCTACTGTGAGTCAGGCTGAATTGATCTGTCATGGCAGTCTCACTCACAGTAGATGCCATGGCAGGCCACTACAGCCTGACTGAAACCATAGCTGACACATTTCCGTCGCGTTCCCACCCGCTATACGATGGCGAGGTCTGCTACATCAATCTCCCCATGGGCTACGACACACACACAGTACAGCTTGAAGCAAATAACTGTCTACTTTTGTTTACGAATACAATACATTTTGGGCTATTTATGGATGCGCACGATACGAAAATCTGACAAACGCGTCCGTATGGGATGCCATTTTTGCCGACCCCTAAGACCATATATAGTCCCTTGATGAGATGCACGACTAGTCCCGGGGGGGGTACATATCTGCTCGCTTTACTTTTATCGTGTTTATTAACGGACTTTGGTTACTTAGTGAACTTTATGACTTCTAAGCTCACAGATCTATGACTGAAATTTGGCTTCCAAGGTCAGCTATCATTTTAAAAAATGTCGCATTCAACAAGGGGTATTCTGGACAAAAATTTGGATGGGACAACCTATCCACTCTTAGCATTAAACAAACTTTAGTCCAGCTAAGACGTGACACATTTTCTTTCCAAAACTGTCTAAGCAAGACCCCAGCGGCCATTAACTTTCCGAAATGAAAGCAGTCCGTACGGGTGGGAGAGTTCACGAACACGCGACTGTCTACCAAGCAGAAGTCTGCTACGCGATTATAGCAGAGGGATAGAAGATCAAGTTTGGGGTAGATCGACCAGGAACTGCTCAGCACTTGTTCTGCTCTCATTCAGTTAAATATAACACCAGCTGGGAACAAAACACCAAAATATACACTTACGCGAAGTAGATGGTCCACTATTAGGGCGATTATCGATTTGAATGAAAAGAGCAAAACAGGGCATGTGCTCTTCAGACTTGATGTGTTGTCATCCGAGGAGTACTCTGCCACACAAAGCCGGCTGGCCATCCTTATTATGTCCTTT